GCATCGGGAACTTGGATGGGCGGCGCCTTGAGATGTTCCTGTGATACAAGGAGGATTGCATATGCAGAGGGTTTAAACAGGCAAGACCCCTAGTTGGCTTGCAGGTATGGCAACTAGTGTAGAACTTATATAGCAATGTGTAAGCGGACTACTTAAATTAGACACCAAAAGTGCATGTGTGGCTAGTTGTAACTTCCAATATAAGGTGAGCCCTTGGTGGCATATTGTGTCCTAATATACTTTAATAAAAACATCGCAACTTCCAAGATAGGGACTTTAACTAAAAAAAAAAAAAAAAAAAATAAAAAGTTAGAATCAAAGAAATCATCTTAACACTAAAAAAAAATAATAATAATTTTACTATTATTAGAATTATAAAGATCTACTTTACAATTTTTATTTAATAATTCAAATTAATTTATTTAATATAGTTTTGTATAAAATTTTTTTTTTCTTTAAACAGTTATACTAGTGTCTTATTAAGATTTTGAAATTACATTTGCAATTATATAAATATCCTTAACTACCAAGCCTAGCATCACCTAGCCACTTTAATAGTACCTAAGTGTAACTTATTACATTACTTTAAGCAGAAGTAAGCTGCTTGTCTGACTACTTAAAGTCTATAATAAAAGAGTCTTTTTTCTTTCATGACAAGCTCTAAAATTGTTTTCTGTATTTTTTTTTTGATTTGTTTTTATTTTTTTTTTATTTTTTATTTTTTTTTCTTCTATAGCTTGCCAATTTGGTTTTCCTTTTTTACTTGATGCTTTCCTTTCTTTTCTTTTTCTTTTTCTTCTTTTTATTCTATCTATTATATCTTTATTTTTCTCTTATTTATTAATCTTCTTATATCAGATTCTTCATACTTGTTTGTAAAATATATTCTAGGCTGTTCTTACAATTATATTCATAAACTGCTATCTTGATTTTATGTTTAGAAGCTGCCTCAATCTGTCTTGTATTTCTTTTGAGATAAGACCTTTAATTAGTATCTCTCTTATTTTAATTTCCTCTACTTCTGTTTTTCCAAAGGGCACCATATATAATATATATAAGGGAACTTGAACTTTTTCTTTTTCTTTTAATCCCTTTCAAGTTGTTGCAATAATCACTTTTTGGATTCTTTTCTACAGGTTTCTTTGTCCCTTATATATTGCCAAATATACTTATATTCTTTTGTTTTTATTTTAACAAACTTAGTATTCTGTTGTTGTATATACCTCTGGTTTTCTTTTGTTAAGTTCTTCTAAGGTTGGAAGTTTATTTATTATGCACTTTATAAATACATTTCTTCTGGCACTACCTCTTCTTATTGTACAGTATACTTCTTTAGATGTCATCAGTCTATTTCAAAAATATATCCAATCATAAATCATAACTTCTGTTTCTGATTCTAGAACTCTAATTGCTTTTGTTTCTTTCCATTTCATTTCTAATCTTGTATTCATTATTAATTTGAATAGTAGTCTTGCTGGTATGTTAGTACTTTTGTTTTTCTATTCTAAGCAGTACTTTATCTCTTTATAACTGATTTTTTTAACCTATATTATCTCTTTATTTGTTATATCTTTTTTTGTTAGATTATCAGTTTTATTATTCTATTTATCTTTACTGTAGTTCTTAACTTTAACAAACCCTATCTGAATGTTCTTTGTTCTAATTAATTCTCTAATTTTCATCACCCATATTGCATTTTTCTTTTTAAGGATCTTATTTCTGTATACTTGTTCTAAATCTCTACTAATGTTTCTTATTACTGCATTGCTATCTGTATATATTCCTGCTTGCTTTTTTCTTAGTATCATTAAAATTGCAGTCTATATTGCTACTAATTTAGCTATTGTCGATGTTTGTCATCTTTCTAAACCTAATGCTAACTTTTCTTCTGACCATTCTTGTGTTTTATCTGTTTGCATCTATACTATTTCTGCTTTCTGTGTTCTTTTTAGTCTTCAGGTTTGCTGCTCCATCTGTGTATATTATATACTTGTTCTTGTTTCTTATTATATTTCTTCTTAAGACTTTTACTATTTCTTGACTAATGCTGTTTTTTTAACTTTTGTCATCTAATTATTTCTATTTCTGTTTCTTTTATTATTCTTAGTCTTTCGAGTTTCTGTTCTTCTATTTTTGGTTTATTTATCTTTATTATTTCTGTTATTTAATCTATTACTATTTTGATCTTATTGTTGCCTTTTTTTATCAATGTATTTGGAATCATATTGATTCTATTATTTACTCTTATCTACTGTTGGCAGGTATTTTCTTGGTGTTCTTCTTCTCTTGTACAACCCTTATATTTGCTAATTTCAATAGCTAATTCATTTTCTTTACTCTATATTTGCCAGTGTTCTACTAGTATTTTTTCTTTTTCTTCTTGACTATCTTTCCTAGCTATTGATTGTTTTGTGCATTATGTGCTATCCATTCTTTTCTTCTTCTGTTTTTTGAGATATACTCCCATCTCATCTTTATTGCTTGAGTATTTTGTCCAATTGTTCTAAATTGTCTTTTAATTTCTCTATTTTCTGGTCTAATAAGCACTTCTCATTCTATTACTTTGAACCATTCTGCTTTTTTTCTCTTATTTGATAGACTTTAATAACTTTTTAGCTACTGCCATGTAATTAGTTTCTCTTCTTTTACATCTATCAGCTTATTTAGATATATTAAGTCTGTTTCATTTATTCTAGTACCACTTCTTTTCTGTAACTACATATCTATAAGTTCTCTTATTTTAATTCCATATCCAAATATTGTCTATAAGTTATCTTTTATCCTTATATTTATATTAAGTTTTCTTGTTTTTAGTAATGTCAGACAAGCTAAGTTATTTTTCCACCCTTCTATATTTTCTGTTATCTTTTCTATTTTTTATATATCTTCTGTTAAACCTATTCTCTGACATCTTTGTATTATTCTTAATTTTATTAATTGTCTAAGACTGTCTTGTCTGTTTAGTCTTGCTAATAGGCCATTTATTTGTTTTGATGTTAATTTTTGTTGTAATGTTCTGCAGTTTCTAAGATCTTTATGTTCCATTACACAATTTTCTAGTATTTGTTGTAGGTTACTCTTTTGCTTTGCTAAACTTATTATTGACTAGTACACTTCATTTATACTTCTTTCTAACATTTTTGTTAATTGTAACATATAATTTAATTTTAGTATTATTACCATATTGTTTATATATGCAATCTGACTCATTGTCATCTTTTTGTGTCTAAGATCTCTTATTGTTTGACTAATTATTCTTTTAGCTTTCTTTTTTATTAGCACTTTATTCATTCTGTTATTTAATCATATTTCTAATGAACAAATTATTTTGTTCTTTGCTTCTTTTGCTATCTTGCTTCTTCCAAAGCTTACTTCTCTTTCCTTTTTCTTTATTTGTATAAATTTAAATATAAATAGAATTACTATTAAGTTTATATATAATTTTAAAAAATACACTACCCTTAAGATATAATTAATTTTTTAAAAATTTATTATTTTTGTTATACAAAGGAATGATCTACATATTACACCTAATCTTAAATTTAATTGATCACAATACTCTAACACTATAATGCCATAGCATTATAAAATAAATCCCTTATACAATATAGAAAAATATTTGTAAATATTACAAATTTTATCAATAAAAAAACTAACCAGGTCTTACTCTTTAAAAAATGAAAAAATGAAAATAAAGATGTAATTAGCTAAAAATTAACTGAAAATAACAATCTATAATCTTACAAAGGTAATCAAATTATTGTATCAAACAAAAATTTTTAGAATCAACGAAAATTAAACTTCGGCATAATAACATAAATACTAATAGAACCATAAATCAGCGAACAATACAGTCAGACCTTTCTTTAGCCACTTTCTCTATAGTCACATTCGCTTATAATTACATAAAATTTTAAAACCAACTTATATAATACTTATAAAATTTAACCTCTATATAGCGATTGGCACAAACTCTATAAGCACCAAATTATAAAACCAAGGGTGTGATTATAGAGAGGGTTGACTGTATAATTATTTTGATATTTTATTCTAAAATTGATCAAATATATATAAATCAATTTGTGTTAGAAAACACATTTCCATAAATTTAAAATCGGTCATTTTAAGTAGGTCTAAAATTACCTTACAAGTATAGTACTAAATTCATTTGATATGGAAACATATTCATTTAATTAAAATTTTCAAACTTTAAAAATTTTCACCAGACAAACAATGCTTTTTCTCTAAGACATCTCACACCCAATTCCTCCCATTCATTAGAATTGATCCATAATTCATTTACAATTTCTAATTTACTCATTACAGATCCACCTTTCCATGCCAGTAATCTCGGATCTAGATCACGAGGCGAACCAAGAATCTCAAATTTGTCAGTAAATGGTAGGGTTCGTGAAAATATGCTTATTTTTATAGAAAAGAATTTAATTAATGATAGGAAAAAAAAACAACGAAAGACAATAATAAGACATACCGATTCTCTAACATTTTATGAATCCCTGAAATAAGTCCTCCACCGCCAACAAGTAAAATACTTCCATAAAATTTTTTGGCCCTTTCCTCCGTTGCTGCAGCATTGATACTTTGAATTATAGCATCATCAAGCGAAACTGTAGACACTGGGTCTATTGAAGAAGCGTTACTAATACGTGATATCGATGGCGCTGCAGAAGTAGGTGAAGGTCCGTTAGTTGATGCTGCAGAGTTATCGAGTCTAAGAGGTGTCATTGGACCAGGACTATCACGTTGTTGTGGTGATGGTGAAGGAAAAGAGGTTTTGGCTTGTGTTACTTGTGTTGCAACGGAAAGCTTAGGTTTTTGCATTACTAGATTTGGTGAAAGCTATTAAGAAATATGTGAATATCGTAATACAAATTATAAAAATGCTATTATATAATACCAATTAATAACGTACCCCTGTGGAGGTATTAACACCTTCTGTTATATCATCAATCACATGAGACGTGAATTTAGGGGGAAATTCGGCGGATTTTTTATGAAAATTAATTATATGAGGATAAAAAAAGCACTAAAAAATTAAATTAATTAACATATTGTATATTTGATAATAATTAAAATGTAAATCAAAATACCATAGGTGAAATAATAGCATCATCGTATGTCTTAATTTGATATTTAAATGTCGGTTGATTAGGTGCTCTTACATAAAATTCATTCAATTGTATTACAAGATTAGCCTTAAATAAAAACACGTAAATTTAGAACATATCAGATATTCAAATATTAAACGATTTTAATATAAATCTTACTTCATCCAGAGTACAGAATTTTTCTTTCATTTCTTCAGCCAGCATCCAATCATACATACGATTTAAATCCATTTCAGCATATGGAAATTTACTCTTTCGCAAAAGCCTTATAAAGAATGTTGTGATATCATCACCTCCATAACGCAGACATATTCTATAAACGAATTATAAAGCATACATTTCGACCATTACCATACAACCTACAAATGATTTGAATATATTATCTGACCACACCTTGAATCTGGAATGCACATCCCATCTTCCACACATGCAACGGTGGATGTTTGGGCACCAATATCCACAATACATGCAACCGATATACCGGCACCGAAACTCACACAAACTGATTCTTGTGCTACAAAAACACAGCGAAATCCCATATAACGTAATAACATTGTTATCATTTCCGTGACGTATAGACGATTATAGATATCAGGAATAATAAGTATTATGGAATACGACTAATGTATGTAAAAAGAGATAATGTAAATATTTATATAATGACACGTCAAAATTTGATCAATATATTATTACATGCCTTAAAATTCTTCAAAGGGATCTCAAGTTTTTCCGTTATCGTAGTGGTCCAAATTGTTTCCAAATCTCCAACAACTGCTTTAATAGAATTATAATCCCTAGTATTAAATTCACCATGCTGTATCGGATAGAATAATTTAAAATGATTCTCATTATCGTGGAGACGAAGTGCCTAACAATCATAACGACAAAGATCAATTACATTGATATTTGTAAATTCATATCAACTATACCAAATCATAAAAATTCATACCTTTCTCCTACCTTTTCCCCAACATAATAATCCACTTTTTCATCAACCACGGTCCAATCGACCTTGTAAGGGTCGTTATGATCTGCAATTGTTTCCGGATGAGCTGACTTATTAAATGATAAAACTTGTGCTTGTGCATTAGCCACCGGTCGTCTTTTTGAGGTTTTCATTCTATCTTTTAACTCTTTTCTTATCTCATTTAAGACTTGAGTGAATTGTTCCTTTTTAATTGAAATCAAACAAATAGATAGGAGTGAGTTTGAACAACATAAACATTGCGAAGTCCATAAATGCAACATTATCACATCAATTATTGATGCTAAACCTCATCTTCTTCTATCTCTTCCATCACAGCCGGTGAACCCACAGATCCGGACCAATTTTCACCACTATCTGATTTTGTATCATCATTTTCCATTGTTATATCAGTATTTTTATCAACTGACATTTTTGTATCTTCAATATTTGTACTCATTTCTTCTTGTCTGTCCTCTTCTTTGCTTTTTTGTTTGTCTTCTTGCTTGTTCTCTTGTCTGTTGTCTAATCTATCTTCTTGCCTGTCTTTTTGTTTATCTGTTTGCTTGTCTTCTTGTCTGTCATCTTTGATTACATCATGTCTTTCATTTTCCTTTTCATACTTCATCTTTCGTGCAATAACATGTGGAACTACATATGGGAATGCTTCTGATGCACGCCCAATCCTTAGATATTTTGATCCAGGATGTATTACCAAGACTTTTGATCCTTCCTGCTCTGGCTACAAAAACAGACACAATTAGGGACCTTGAATCAGGGAATCTTGATACGTAAAAATATCATTCTACTACCTCTTCTTCCTCTGTAGTAGCATCCTCTTCATCCTCATCCATTTCGTCTTCATTCTCCTTTTCTTTCACCACCTCTTTTTTAGTTTCTTCCCTCTGAAAGTATGAAACGTCGTGTCTTAAAAATTTTGAAGTTACATACTTTGTTACTATCGGTGCCTGCGCGGCAAAATTAGTAAACTTTAGCTGCGGTGTGTACAGCCTATCTATATTATCATTTTGTTTTGGTTTTGGATTATGCATGAGTGTCGAAAATATTTTGCTCTTGGCGTAAATTTAAATGGCGAAAATGATTTTTGACAATCAAAATTGTAAAATAATTTGAATCGACCAGGAAGGCCCCAAAGAGGTGTTAGAAAATGAATCAGCCCCCGAAGTTCAAGTGATGGTCTATAAAATTGCCGCAGCATATTTCATTTTGATAACGAATCAGCAGCAGCCCGCTGATAATCAACAATCTATTTTTAGAAAAAAAAACTTAGATCTAGTTACATATTATCTTCTTTTTTTTTTTTTAAATATTAACGGTGAGGCCATGCCTTTAACTTTATTGGAATTCAATTGAAGTTTTTACAAAGAAAAGCTTGCTTTTAAATTACATATGAAGAATAAAGACTCAGACATATAATTTGCAATCTAAACCTACAAGAGTGACCAAGGTTCATCTATATTTAAATTAATAATAATATAAGAGAGAAGGGTATAATATTTAATCTATTGAATAGTCCAAAGGTCAATTTTGGTAATAATTTGAGGTATTGAGATAAGAGGTAGACTAGAAAAAGAATTATAAGTTAAATTTGTAGTAAGTATGTTTTGAGACTGTGCAGAACATGAAATGCAATATGGAATTCATTTAAATGATAAAGAAATTTAATAAAAAGAGAAGTAGTTATATAGTAGAAAATAGAAGTATTATGAATAGTAGAAATAAGATCAATAGGAACTAAACCAAATAGGATAGAAATAAAGAATAGTGTATATGAATAGATATGCATTTTAAAGCTATTAAGAGTGAGAATTTTTTGATGTAAATTAAAAATAAGATTGGTAAACATGTCAAGAGCAATAATATTTAAAATACAATTAAGAGAATTAGAGATTAAGTGATAAATTATTTGAATAAAAGAACAAAGAGTCCAGTGTAATAAAAAGCTAGTTTGATTATATTAGTGACAAAGAAGAGAATAAGAAGAATTATATTTGTAAAGAGTATAAGGAATAAGTAGTTTATTCAAAAGAATTTTAATACAGAAGGTTTTTAGAATAGATAAATAAAAACTATGACAAAATTAGAAATCTTTTAATTATTATTAATATAAAGTTAAGTGGTTTTCCAATTAATATTAAAAGCAACAGTGGACTATTATTAGAAACAATATTAAGATATCTAAAATATTATCTCTTAAATTATAATACAGGCAAATTTGTCTGCATTAAATTTTTTTTTTTTTTTTTTTGATATTAAACTAGTCTCTTTTGGGCCTAGGATTTTATTTAGTAAATTGGACATAAGGACTCACAGCCGAAGCCTCAAAGAAGTCACCTTACATTAGAGAGTACAACTAGTCATATGTATACTTTTGATGTCTAATTTAAATAGTCTGCCAATGATTCTACACTAACTGTCATATCTGCAACCCAACTAGGTATATTGCTTATTTAAACCCTCTGTGCTGCAATTCTTACTGTGTCACTAGATCATCTCTGATATAGTCGTCAGTCAAGAAGGTCTAGATACTTTTACCTATTTCTCTTAGAACCTCATACCTTATTTTATGCAATATATCCTCAGAAGCATTGTTACTAGAGCCTTCCATATCACATATACAGCTGACCTAGTTTTATGTAATATGCTATAGTTATCCAACACTTGCAATTACAGGGTTTACCTGTTTAACTGCTACGTTACATTATTTCTATCCTTGTAAAGTTCATCCAAACCCTGATACCTATCATTCTGACTTCTTTTCTTTATTACTCTACTATCTAACTCAGAATCTGACAGACTCCACAGACTCCCAATCCAGATAGCCCAGTACAGTATATTTTAGTATCCTTTTCCTCCAATAATTCTGGTGGCCTGGTTGGTCATATGCTCCTCTACACATCTTTCTATCTGATTGCATATCCACCTATTCCTTATTGGAGTTTCCTGGACTTTTAGCAGTCCAATAGCACTGTCGAAAGCTTGTGCTACTCTTTACTCAGAAATTTCCAAGTAGGCTTCTGTCTCCTCAGTTTCTTGATCTTCTATATCTGGTGGCCTTATCATGGGTTTGCACCAAATTTTTATGTGATATCAGTTATTAATATTCCTCTATATATGTATAATGTTATACTTACATAGATGCCCTAGGCTTCTAATGATGAATAGAACCCAATTGGTTGTACCCAAGATTACAGATACCTAAATCCAACTAATTGACCTGAGACAGTTTATCATAACGCAGATATAATTACCAAATTTCATCATAGGTGGGATTTGAATCTTAAACCTGCCACTTGAAGGATAACAACCCAACCACTATACTAGGATCACCATTCTCTGCATTAATTTTTTTAAAATTAATTTTTATAATAAAAACTTAATTAATTTTAGCAATATACTTTCTAAATAAAAAATATTTTTAAAAACCTACTTTATAAACTTTGTTAATAACCTTTTTTAACTTTATTAAAAAACTTTTAATTAATTAAAGTTTAAAGATTATGTAATATTAGGGTTTATTATTAAAATATTTTTTTAGATTTTTTAAAGTTTTATATGTTTCTGAAACTAAAAAAAAATTTTTGTTTTTAAGACAAGTATTAATTTTTATATATAAATTACTAAACTTGTAATAATTAAAATTGTAATCTTTAATATAAACT